AACAACCCTACAATTTAATTAAACACACCACTGGGTGTTCCCCAAAATCAAAACAACGAAGCCCTTCCAGGTGTGTTTTACACTTACTTTCCATGTATTCCCTTTCAGCTTCTTTCCGCCGTTTCCTCTCCCGCGCAAGAGCTTCCGGGCTGCCCCAGACTTCTGTAGACCTGTTTTAACAAAGTTGGGGGGGGGGGGGGAAAGGTATATAGATCTGACTTGCCAACACTTTTGAGTACACACAAAAGAGGAAGACGTGACATGCTCTCTGGAAAATGAAATACATGGATGTCCAAGTTGAGCTAACAAAATATGACGTTAACCGAGCTAAGCTAAGGAAAGAAGGGGGACGAAGCTTGCTGATTCTGAAAGAGGATTTTTTTTTAACTCTTCCTGAATTCAGCCCACATTGTGAATCCAGCAGGATTCCTCCAACAGTCTGCTATCCAGATGACTTGACTGGTAGGCTGGGAGCTGCCCTGCAATTTATCGGGCTCACAGCAGATTTAACGCAATTAAACCTTCCATATTTCCCCTTAGATATCTTCATGAACAATGACAAAGAGACACACAATCTGTTATAGTCACAGCATGAGCCGTGCTGTCTCTTAAGTGCTGGGAAAAAAGAGATGTACAAAAAGGGTTGTTTACGTGGTTTAGCCGAAATTCTTTGACAATACTTTTATTCCTCTCTTATTTTTTAAGATTCTTGCCTAATCGGCTGATTGGTGAATGGTTGGGAAAACACAAATTAAACAGCAGTTAAACACACATTAAGCATTGCCCATTCCCACTAAGCCACAATTGGGGAGGGGGGGGAAGTCAACACTCTGATTTAACTGCCTGAAGAAACCACAATTAAATGAGAGTCAAAGCTGACTAAGTTACAGCAGTTTCCCCGTTAATTAGCCAATGGTGCGAACTCCACAGGAAAAGCATTAGAAATTAAATCTCTACGTAAGATAACCTTTTCAAAGATGCTCTTACTTAGCTTCCACATCTGATCTCAAAAATACAGTGAAAGCTTCGGTGTCGTCGTGAGGGCTTCGCCGTCTGATTTTTCGAAGCTGGTCAAGGTCACTGTTGAAGGAGACAGACAAAAAAAAATCATCTTGAAAGAAGAAAAGCAGAGTTTATAAAAAAGGTCCAAGTTCGTCATCTGGAAGGCGCGTCCATTTTACAGGATCCCAATTAGGACCAAGCAGGTTGCTATTAAAAAACAAAAATGGACCAGCAAAATATTTTTGATGGCTGGCTGGGAAAAGTTGCCAAGGTTGGGCACCCCTGTTCTAAATAATAATAATAATAATAATAATAATAATAATATAAAAAATAATATTCATCATCATCATCATCATCTAGATCTATATAAATAAAAATGTAAATGTTCGTTTGTTCAAAATCTTAAATCTCCGAAGGTTCTTCATCGATTGCTTTGAAATTTTGACACAACGTTGCATTCGAATACGCGCGTGTTTTTATATACCTACTATTATATAGATGTCACACCTGTGACAGGTAAAAACATGTTTTTGAAAAACAGCGCCATCTGTTGGACGTAAAAGCAACCCACGCTTTTACTAGACTGAGCCACAGCAACGCATGGCTGGGTACAGCTAGTAATAGTAGTAATAATAATAATAATAATAATAATAATAATAATAGTAGTAGTAATAATGATGATGATGATGATGATGTTGGAAGGGACCTTGGAGGTCATCTAGTCCAACCTCTTATAGTAGCATGTTAAACAATCACGGGTTTTCAAGAAACCTCATTTAGATTATCTGTGTAAGAATTGTGCCTGGACAGCCCTCTCTTTTAGTGGCATAGGTCTTTTAAGCTACTGGCAACCACTTCCTAGACTGATAAATAATAGCAACCGTACAATTAAAAGAGTGGTACCCTTGGTACTCATTGTTAATTGGTTCTGGGAGTCACGATGAGTACCAAGACCGATGAATACAAAACAAATTTTTCCCATAAGGAATGATATAGTGAGTCACAAGGTAGCCGACATCGACAATTTTTAGCTTATGCGTTGAGTGCCAAACAAACGACAACTACCGGGACACAATTTTCACGTCAAAATGCGTTGAGTGCCAAATTTGATGAGTTTCAAAGCTAATGGCACCTGTTGTGATTCCTCGTCAGCCAGTGGACCTGGCAGCTGAGTCTGAGGAATCAGAAGAGGAGGAGGAGGGGCCTGGAGTGACATCAGAGTCAGAGGAAGGCTCTGAGGAGCTCCAAGTCTTACAGTCGGATGAGGAGCTTGGCCCCTCTACTTGCGCTCAGGCTGAGACACAGCTGTGCTGGGAATCTGAGTTGGACAGTGATGAAGAACAGCTGGGACAAATCCCGGATGCACGAATGCACAGGCAAGAGAAGTGAGTAGGACAGAGGAATGCAATGGGGCGGCTCCAAAGGCGAAGGAGAAGGCATTAGGAAGCCACGCCTTGGCTGCATAATAAAAGGGAAGGTGTGGGAGGTACTGGTGGCTGAAGGCAGCCGTTGGTGTGGAGGATCGAGTTTCTGTGAACTGTGTTTGTTTGCCTTGGACATCGACTCAGTCTGTGAGAATAAAAGGGGATTGGTTTTTTCTTGCGGTTCCTGCCTGTTTCTTGGAAGAGGGGTTTCTCCTTGTGAGCATAACAAGGACTCACGTGGGCTGGGACAGAACAGTACCACCAAATTTGGTACCTCTTGTCTGTAGTATTTTTCACCACCCATTTGTACTTGTAAGGCTGTAGAGTAACTTTGAAAAACACCATGTCATACCAATTTAATATCTGAAGAGATGGACGTACCTGGACTTAAGGCAAAATTCACTTATTGCTCTCACGCCAGTGATGAAGTTATTCTTTGTGTACTTTGGTCCATATTCTCTTTTTTTGAGCACAGCTTTCACTTGAAAAGAGAGAGGAGGGAGGGGGAAGCATTACAGGTAGTCCTTGACTTAACAACAGTTCTTTTAGTGACGGTTCAAAGTTACAACAGCACTGAAAAAAGTGACTTATGATCCTTTTTCACACTTATGACCTGTTGCCCCATGGCCACGTGATCAAAATTCGGATGCTTGACAACTGACTTGACACTTATGAGGGTCACAGGGTCCCGGGGTCACGTGATCCTCTTTTGTGACCCTCTGACAAGCAAAAGTCCATGGGGGGGAAGCCAGATTCACTTAACAACCGTGATCCTAACTTTAAAAGTGCAGCGATTCACTTAACAACGGTGGCAAAAAAAGGTCGTAAAATTGGGGCAAAACTCATTTCACCAATTTCTGCTTTAGCAACATAAATTTTGGTCACTAAGGCGAGGGCTGCTTGTACTAATGTTAACACATTTTCACCCACGGGATTAAACCCAGCCAAATTTGTTCTCGTTAGTCACAGAGGTTACCCGTGGCCAGGTTGCAAAACTTGAAAAGTGAACAACAAACCCGAAAGCGGATTCTCAGTCAGGAGCGAAGTGGGAATGAGAGCTTTATTACCAATCAAGAATGGACTTGTTTAAGAATAAGTTGGACTCGGAGTCTGAATAAGGATAAATACATTCTATGCATGCCCATGGAAGGACATCAATTACCTTTTACTTGAATTGGCTGCTGTGGGAAAGGAATTTGATTGAGAGCGTCCCGGGCTGGAAAAATAAAACACACAGTCACATTGTTGTGTTTGCGTCGTAAGAATAAAACAGAAAGGCATTGGGATGGCATTTATTACTTGGCGAGTGGAACGGACAAGGCGGAAAGCAATTTCAAACGTTCGGCATAAATCCTGCAACGACGTCTTTCCTTTCACAGCCTCGCTTATTCTGCAATTCTAATTTTAACTGATTCACTTCCCACCGAAAAGGCCCTTTATATTGTAAGGACACAACACAAGAAACTAGCTAGCATCCTTCTTGTGAGTAGATTGTGCTGTTTTGTCTTAGTATCAGAAAGAAAGGAAATGAGAATTCTTCTCGCTCTATTGCACTGTACGCCACAATTCACTCCAAGCTAAAAACTAGAGAATAACACTGATTTTATTAGGAGTAAAATGTATTCCAGATACATGATCATGCCTTTTTAATTACCAGCATCAACAATGCTGTATAGAGTTATGACCTCAATAACAAAGCTGATATACTATTGCTTTATTCCCTGGAGTTGGACACCTGCCAGTAAATTGAAATTAATTCCACTAAACTAAAGACATTAGAATTTGCCTTCTGAATGGAAGACCCTAGCAAGAAAATATCTGTTAATAACAAGCATGCTTGACTCATGGTACGAATTAGTAAAAAACAAACCAACCACAACTTGATTTTAAGACAAGAATTTCTCCTTGAACTCGGAGGAAATAGGGTGGACAACAATATCAGAATAATCTTTTCCACTGAATAAGCTAAACAAAATAGACCTAAATGTAAACGTTTTTATTTGCCCCAACACACAGTAGCAACTTGTTGAGTATGCTTGAAGTAGATTTGTTCCCAATACAAATAATATTTTAAAAAAGCTAAAAGTTGGCTTCTGTTCCTATCATCTTATCCTTGCAGCACTAAAACTAAGTCACATGTTTTCAACTGGGAAACCAGAGATGGTTAGACGATTCAAAGTCGCAACGTGAGAGACCTCTGGGTTTAAACCTGGTTAAGTCTAATCACTATAGCACTGCTATCAACGGGGCTGGACCTACCAGCGGCTGTCTTCTGCGCAGTGCCTTCTGGAGACGTTGCGTCTGGCGTTCTTGTGCTGTTTTTCTGATCGTTGGAGGAATAAGCTCTTACTTGACTTGAGGGATGAGGCTGGCAGCCACCTGGCAGGATGGCCAAGAGTCTCCCAGCTTTAATGGGTACTTGCCACCCTGATGGAAACATGAAAGTGGATGGTAGTTTTAGAAGGCAGAAAAAAAAACCTGATAAATACTAAAAAAAAAAAAAAAACCCAGCTGAGAGGACATAACACGGTTATGATTATTGAAATGTTCGCTGTATGGGTTTACCAAAGGACAATAGGAATCCTGCAGAGAAGAGTTAAAAGAATATTAAGACTGGTACTAAAATTGACTAAGCTTTATTTTTATGACTATTGTTATTATTAGTGATTATAATTATCCAGTATTATAGTAACTATTTATTTAGTAGGATAAACGACACTTATTGACTAACGTTTATTTTTTATGATTACGATTATTTTTTGTGATTATAACTTTTTAGTATTATTTTAATTACTGTTATTTAACATTTGTACCCGGATGACAGTCTGCTCGCTAAAGCGACGAATTACTGTTGTGGGTAACTCCATTATTGTATCTTTCCCTACCCTTATCCCAACCTCACTCCCCAACCCCATCCAACACCCTTACCGATCTTATCCCTTTCCCCACCCTTATAAAATCTAATTAATTATATATATATATATATATATATATATATATATATATATATATATATATATAAAAGGACTGGTACTAAAGATACTTGTATGTCATTGAATTATCGATTAACTCAGCCGCCACGTTGCTTTTTAAATATTTAAATGTAAAATTAGACAATCAATAAAACATTAAAAAATAAATAAAAGAATATTCAAATGACACTGAACTCTCCCCAAATGGATCATTGGTTATCATTAAATCTGATACTGCACAAAGAAAGTAGCAGTTCTGGGCAGAGGAAATTAAAAAGCCAAGAGGGACCAGGTAACCTAGTTTTGGATCCTAACCTGTGATTAGGAAACAATAAATGTTACTATTGCCGAACCATTTTATGCCCAATTAAAATATTACTCCAAAACTAAGTTGATTTACTTCCGCTGTACATCCCCCAAATTCAACTCCTCGTAAACAATGGCTTTGTTATGCTCACTAACGGGATGCAGTAAAGTTAGCTTCTGCATCGAAGAGAATTATTTAAAGCTACGAGAAAGATTTGCAAAATAATCAAGATGATGTATCCTGCAGCCAGGCAGAGATGTCTACAAGGTCACTCTGGGCGGCTGATAAAACAAGTTTTTTTTTTTTAAAAAAATAAAATAATTAAAATACAATCCACTGTGGATCTTAAACGGGGGGGGCGGGGGCAGAAGGACCCACCATTAATCCCCTGCCGAGGGCGTGGAGGGCCAAGGTCCTTTCAAGGCCGGGCTGGACCCCCTCAGACCCCCCCACCTCGTCGGTCAGAAAACCCCGCCGGGCCTTGCCAGGCCTCGGAGCGGCGCCCCCCCCCCCCGGCCCCACTCACCGGGGCAGACCGGCGGGCCCCGGCCCCGCAGACGCAGCTGGTAAAAGCAGCGCCATCCCCTCCGCTGAGCGGCCAGAGCCGGCAGCATCCTCCCGCGCTCGGGCGACCGGCGAAAGGAGAGGGAGGCCGGCGTGGAAGGCGCCTCATGGGTGACTCCGCGCCCGGCCGGCCTTCCACGGACCAGCGGCCGCCATCTTGGGAAGGCGGAAGTCTCCGAGAAGCCGGATGTGGAGGGGGGGAGGAAAAGAAAAAAAAAGAACCCGTGCCGCTCTGCGCTCCTCTTCTCTATGATCTTGCTTGAAGGTAACGCGCGAAGAGGGGGAGAACGCACGGGGTTGGTTTTTTTTTCTTCTCCCCTTATCGCCTACGTCATTTCCTGTTTGGGGTGACGTTGCGGGCGTAACCACTTTCCCCTGGGTTCACCTTTGCGGGGATGCTCCTCTCCGTTCCCTCCGCCCCCCCCGCTGCCGCCTGAAATGGGATGGCCTGTTTTTGCCTGCACTCAAGATGCTCTCGAATAACCAAGTTAAGTCTTGGTTAAGTTGGTCCCCCAGAAGGAAGCAGGGTTGTAGATTGGACAGGAAAAGAGGGGGAACGTTCCTGGTGTTGCCCGGAAAATGCAGCATCCATAGAATCGTGGGCTGAGCTAAGAACTGGTGCTGGTTTTGAGATGCCCAAATGGGCAGACGGTTCCTTTTGCAGGATAAATAATAATAATAATAATAATAATAATAATAATAATAATAATAATAATAATAATAATAATAATAATAAATAAAAAAATAAAAATAAAAATAAAAGTTGGAAGGGACCTTGGAGGTCATCTAGTCCAACCCCCTGCTCAGGCAGGAAACCCTACACCATTTCAGACAAATGGCTGTCCAGTCTCTTCTTAAAAACTTCCAGTGTTGGAGCATTCAATGCTTCTGGAGGCAGGTTGTTCCACTGGCTAATTGTTCTAACCGTCAGGAAATTCCTCTTTAGTTCTAGGTTGCTTCTCTCCTTGATGAGTTTCCATCCGTTGCTTCTCGTCCTGCCTTCAGGTGCTTTGGAGAATAGCTTGACTCCCTCTTCTTTGGGGCAGCCCCTGAGATATTGGAACACAGCTATCATGTCCCCCCTGGTCCTTCTCCTCGTTAAACTAGACCAGGGGTAGGCAACCTTGGCTCTTTTATGACTTGTGGATTTCAACTCCCAGAATTCCTGAGCCAGCCATGGCTGGCTCAGGAATTCTGGGAGTTGAAGTCCACGAGTCATAAAAGAGGCAAGGTTGCCTACCCCTGAACTAGACATACCCAATTCCAGCAACCGTTCCTCATGTTTTAGCCTCCAGTCCCCTGATCCTCTTTGTTGCTCTTCTCTGCACTCTTTCTAGAGTCTCAGCATCTTTTTCACACCGTGGTCCCCGAGCTTGGTTGTTTTCTTGCAGATGTTTCAACACCATCAATGCTAGAAGAGAATGGGGTTTCTGGAGAGGAGGACTGTGGGGTCCTTGGTGCGCTCTGAGCTCGGTTGCTTTCTTACACACGTTTCAAGACCCAACTAGGTAACATCATCCATGCTAGAAGAGAGGGTGTGTGGAGAGGAGGAGGAGGAGGAAGAAGTTCTTTCACTTCTCATCCGAGAAGCTTCATCGGTGGAGCTTCTTCTAATGGAAGGATTAGTTCCACCACCTTTTGCACTCTCTGCTAGCCTTCTCCTTCTGTCCCTCCCATCTTCCTCTTCCTCGTTCCCTTTCATCCTTCTGCCAAAGGTGCTTTTTCAGGAGGCAACTGGACTTCCTTTTTTTTCTCTTTGAAAACGTTTCACTTCTCCTTCCATTCCCCGCCATCCAGCCAGAGCTGAAGAAGCTTCTTGGATGAGAAGCAAAACATCTTCAAAGAGGAAAAAAAAAAAAAGTCCAGTTGCCTTGTGAAAAAGCATCTTTGGTTCACTGCATAGTCAGCCAGATATTTTAACTGGATTTGGCTTTTTTTTTTTTCTCTCCACCTAGTGAGCCCTTTCAAAAGGGGCCTGGGATGGGCAGATGTTGTTTAACAATATTGCAGTTAAATGTCTTATTTCCTGTCTTATTTTTCAGAGGGTGACGATTAGCTCTGTAAAATGTAGGGGTCAGTCAGTGCTCTGGCTTTATAGACAACTATGAAAAGGCTGGAAGATTCGACGTTGTGGTGTGAGAAGTTAAGTCTTCATCCTGGTTCATCCAAGCCGGGAATATTATCATTATCATTATTATTATTATTAAATAAGCAACATGGCAACTGCTTTGGGAAGATGGTTACAGTTTATTGCAGAAGCAGAAAGATGGCTCTTCAGGAAAGAGCAGAGAAGAAAAAGAGAGAGAGCACATGGCCAGTAGCTTTTTTATACCCTCTGTAGCTTTTTGTTTGGAGGTTTTCCTGTTCCTGTGTTGTGAACTTTGAGGCTATTTCCTGTGTCACTTATTCTGACCTGAGCCCAGGTGTGCCTCTCTGGTATACTTGATGGTAATGTTAGTCCCATTATGTCCCAAAAGTCATCTCCTGTTTCCCTGGTGATGGGGCTAATGACTCTTAAGAGCTTCCTTTGTCTTGAGATCCCTGGCTCCAAACTTCCTGATGGTTCCACATCTGCATTTGTATAGGCCTAGCTACTGCTTTGGGCAAAGAGATGAGGCCAGGTTTGGTTTCTGCTTTTCAAAAAATGCTTTTAAAAATCCTTTTGGTGAACAATATTTTTTCTGCCTTTTTAATATTTCCTTCTCTGGGCTAACTTCCCACAGTGGGAAGCAATGTTTAACTTGCCCAAAGGGACATTGCGTAACTACATATACAGTTTTTAACCATCATTATATTTAGAAGTACCTAACTTGACCTAAAACAAGACGGAGCGACCCCATCAGCAAGTATGGCGGGCCCAACTGGCAAAAGGAAACTCGGGACCGTTGTTAGTTGGAAACAGGCCTTCGTCCTGCAGAGGATAGACCGTGGCTAAAACGATGACGATGACGATGGTGATGAACTTGAGGCAATAGATCTGCAGCCATCCAAACGTCGCAGTAGAAGTAGGCTGCCAGCCGGATGCTTGGAAGTCCGCGATAACCTTCAACATGCATCCATCAAGTTGTCCGTTGGGTACTGAACGCCTTGCTAAGCGTTACGGCCTGATGTTTCTCTATTAAGCGGCAGATGGGCGTTCACCACGATGTAAAAAAGATGCTGAGACTCTAGAAAGAGTACAGAGAAGAGCAACAAAGATGATTAGGGGACTGGAGGCTCAAACATACAAGGAACGGTTGCTGGAATTGGGTAGGTCTAGTTTGACGAAGAGAAGGACGAGGGGGGACACGATAGCAGTCTTCCAGTATCTCAGGGGCTGCCCCAAAGAAGAGGGAGTCAAGCTATTCTCCAAGGCGCCTGAAGGCAGGACGAGAAGCAACGGATGGAAACTAATCAAGGAGAGAAGCAACCTGGAACTAAGGAGAAACTCCCTGACAGTGAGAACAATTAACCAGTGGAACAACCTGCCTCCAGAACCGGTGATTGCTCCAACACTGGAAGTTTTTAAGAAGAGACTGGACAGCCATTTGTCTGAAATGGTGTAGGGTTCCTGCCTGAGCAGGGGGTTGGACTCGATGACCTCCAAGGTCCCTTCCAACTTTATTATTAATTATTATTATTATTATTATTATTATTATTATTATTATTATTATTATTATTATTATTATTATTATTATTATTAAATTGCCTGTGGGTGACCTTAAAAAGAGGTCCCAGGGAATGCCGCCTCCCCATTTATTGGTCAACTGGAAGAGATGAAATCAAGTCCACCCGGGCAGTAAACAAGAAGGGGTTTTAAGAGGTGGAATGTAAGATCGACACGAATTAAAAAGCTTGCTTACGTTCAAAATACCGCACTGGATCTAATAGTAGTTGTAAGGAGCACCTGTGAGCATCTCACAGAGGGTGAATTATATGTAGTATTGCACCAGAGGGCAGCATTTCAGAAAGAAAAGGCCAGCCAGATGCGAATCCACGCCTCCCTTTCTTTGAACGATTTGATATTCCGGTCTGCTCCAAAACAAAAATGCCTGAACCAACCTAATTTAACTAATTTCATACTTTGTCCGGTGGTGAAGACGGAGCTTGGGGATTCACCGTGCGGCTTGATACTGCGGTGGCCTGGCGACGCAACTTGCAACCCCGGAACCCGTGCGAATTCAAGAGGCCGCAGAGCGGAGTATCTAATGCCAGGTCCCGCAAAACAGCGAAGGCTCGATGGACGCAGGTGGAACTTTGCCCTCAAGTAGGGTAGCAAAAACGACATTCACACGAGCCGCTGAAATGACAACTCGGGTAAAGCGCCAAAATGAGATTCTGCGACGAGAGCGTCTGCTTTTTGCACCTTGCCAATACAGAGACAACAATACAGGAAGCATTTGGAATGAATTGTACCCCATTCATACAGGCAATCCTCGACTTACAGCCGTTCGTTTTAGTGACTGTTCAAAGCTGCGACGGCCTTGAGGAAAAAAAAGAATAAGGGACTTACGACCGTTTCTCACACTTAACGACCATTTGCGGCATCCCCGAGATCACGGGATCAAAATTCAGGCGCCTGGCACACCGGTTCGTATTTATGACGGTCACAGCGTTCCCCCGGGGTTACGGAATTCCCCTTTTGCGACCTTCAGACAGGCAAAGTCGGGGGGGGGGGGAAAGCCAGGTTCATTTAACGACCGGGTTGCTAACTTCATGAGTCCGGTGGTTCACTTAAACAACTGCGGCAAGAAAGCACGCAAAACGGGCAAAGCTCAGTTAACCAATGTTTCGGTTAGCAACAGAAATTGAGGGCTCAATCGTCGTTAAGTCGAGGATTACCTGTATGGTGGCCATTTGCCTGCAGGTACACCTCGCAGGCCGGTTTGGAGGCCAGGCTAAGCGTCGCCTCTCAACGCTGCTAACATCGGATGCTCTTGCTTTTGACAATATATGAAAATGCAGCCATTTCCCCCCTTAACTTGTGTGTTACTTTTTAGAGTTAGAATTATCAGTGTTTCTCAACCTTGACAATTTTAAGGCATGTGGACTTCAACTCCCAGAATTCCACAGCCAGCAATGCTGGCTGTGGAATTCTGGGAGTTGAAGTCCACATGCCTTAAAATTGTCAAGGTTGAGAAACACTGAATTAGATGATGCTGGAGGGGGAGGGGGTAGAAGGAAGAATGTGTATGGGGATTAGTTAGTTAACAACCTCGTAGTAGAGTGTTTTTTTCAAGGCTGTTTGAAATAAGAGATGATAAGGAATGGCGGGTTGGAGAACTGGAGGGAAGGCCTGCATTTCAAACTAATTGGAGAATGTGATTTATGACTGTGAATCGGAGGAGGGGAATTGTGCTTTGATACGATGTGTTTAGGGGAGGGGAATTCAGATTTCGGCTTCTTGACCATGCCGTGCAACTTGAATAAAGATTCTTTAAGGTAAACAATGCCTCGAAGTTCTTTTGAAGAGTTTCACCTGTCGGGACCGTGACATTGCCATTCTAAACGGGCCTGGGGCAAATAGGTGGGTCCCTGTATGCGTGTGCAGTCCGAATCCAAGGGCCGAAGAGGGGATCGCAATCGGATTTTGACCCACCCACCCACCCCTCCGTAAAAGCAGAGAGGCGTGACAATCTAGGAGGGAGCAATTTAATTTGCCATGAAATAAATATCTGACTGCACTGCAAAGTGTCTGGAATGAAAAGAGGATCACAATAAATTTTACAAGGGGCAGCCGGGGAGGGGGGAAGAGAGCGTTTCGCCCGATCGCTGGAGAAAGGCCCGGGTGTTTATTCCCAACGTTCGGGCCCATCCAATTTTATCATTTTTGCTGATTTAAGCAGCGCTCCGAAACCGATGTGGGACTCAGCACTTATTTTCACAGGTTACCGGGCAGGGATAATTCACTGCGGTGATCCAATTTGCAAATCATCGGGGGCCGCTGAAATTGCGGCATTAAAAAGAAGAAGAAAAAAAGGCGAATCAAACTCCTTTTTCCTCCGTGTCAGCAGGCTGAGAGATGATTATGTTTATTAGATTTCTTTGAAAAAGGTTTCACATTTTTCTCAAATATGCAGGAGAATTTCTTTCCCCTCTTGAGGCCAGCATTAGCATTTTGGCGCTCCGGTCCTTGAAGACAAGGAAAATGATGGATTTTTCCATTTGTTTATTTATTTTCCCTTAATTTATGCTCAGCCAGAGAGATGCAGCAACAATCTGCTACAGTACCTAAAAAAATTGCTGTTAGTAAGGGCAAGACCAACCTCTCTGCACACACACACACACACACAAAAGGAATATATAATGTAAGCCAACAAAGCTAATCTAACTTTTAAGGAAAAAGAAGGACTAAATGCCCCATGCCTTGAGTTGCAGGCCAGCTTAAAAAACCTTGATATAAGAGTGGAAGGTGCTAAAATATTTGGATTATTTCTGAAGACGGGTTTTTTTAATTTCTCCTTCCCCTAGTAGTTTTCAAGGACACAAAACTAATTGCTTTAATTTTTTTCCCCCCAAGGCTAATACATCCATTTTGTCCTTTACAGCTCAGTGACGATGCCCCCCCCCACCAGTGCTAATGTATCCATCAACCATCACTCCTCAAAAGCCATTTTTTAAAAAATGTGGTTAGGTGACTTTTTCAGCTGGGCGCTCCTGTGTAATAAAATGAATGGGAATCGCAAAGCTGCAAAGCACAGTCCCTGCGTATTTATTTTTGTCACTAACAGCTCGCAAAAGGATGAGCGAGGGCTGAAGGTCTAACTGGCAGCCACGAAGGGCTAATAATTCCTTTAATCTTTTAAAATGCTGTTTCAGAATTCCAGAATGACAAAATTCAGCTTATACAGATGCAAACCAGATCAAAGTCGGCTCAGACATTCCATGCTAGCCTATTGTTAAAATGTTTGCTTTACTGCTTGCAGCCATTTTAGGTTTTTTTTTTCCCCCAAAAAAAGTCAAAACAGGATAGAGAGCGTAGAAGGAAATCTCAGCATTCGTGCACCCTTCTAAGCAGCTTCTCTATAAATCAGTGAGTAAGATCCCAAGTAGAAGGATCTCAGCCTCCTTTGGAACTTAGGAGTATTTTACCAGAACAGGAAGATTACGAATAAGCAGCGTTACCAAATTGTCTACGACAAGCTAATGAACTTTTTGAGTTTCCTCAGAATGGCATTCAGGCTGTCCTCTCCAAAAACCTAATAAACATCTGTTTTAAAACAACTGCCATCAAATGTAATTATTTCAACGCATCGATTAAGGCAAAAGTCAAGACGCTGAATTATGGAAAAGCCCGCCAAGAAATCGGCGTGTAAGTCATAGCTAAGCCAAAATCATTTTTCCATCTTAAAACGCAAATCCTTACGGGGGAAAAAAAAAAAGGCAGGGATTTGGGCTTCGGAAACAAGTCAGCAGACAGACTTAAGGAGGAGAGCTAAAACACTGATGGACATTGATGGACGTGGAAGTTACATCAAGGCTAGTCCCTCACTCAGACCTTACTCCTGCTTTAGCTCATGAATGCTTCGGGGACACCCGCCGAATGGCCGAGATTAAAACGAAATGGTCCACCAAAACACCTAACACGATTGCCCTTACGGATCAAATAAATTAAACCTTCCTTTCGTATTAAAAAATTGCAATTACGGCAGCAGCAATTTTTTTTAGAGAAGCCCTGCAGGGCTGTAAAGCTAAAGCTTCAGGGGTTTTACACGACGTTGTATTGGCTCTTCTGCCGAAGTCCTGCTCTCTCGTCTTCCCTTTTGCGCCCCACGCGTTCCCTTGGAAATCCATCCCATAAATTCAGGGATTCCCAACAAGACGTCCACCGGGCTGTTGTCAGATCCCCAAGGAGTAAACCATCCGCTTTAAGGCAAGCTTCTCACACACCTGGGAGAAATGCCAGATTTAGATGAAGCGTGCAGCCAACGCACACAAGACGTTGGGTTCCGTTATCGACCCAAAAGTCATGGTGAGCAGCTCAAAGTACCGCTGAGAATAATGCGGGTAGAGCCTCAGCGTTATGGCCACAAATGAGCCCAAAATTTGTTGCTAAGTGAGACGTGTGCAAAGTGACACTTGTCCCATTTTGCAACTTAAGCGAATCGTTAACGGTCGCAAGTGTGAAAAAGAGTCATAAAGTCACTTTTTTTGTTTCCAGTGCCACTGTTCACATGGAACGGTCACTGAACCACTGTCGTTGAGTCGAGGGCTATCTGTGTTTTAATTCCTACAGCAGCCAAACAGATGCCTAGGAAGAACTCACAAACAGGATGAGCCAGAGGAGGGTGTTGTTGTCACCTCCACTTGGGAGAAAAGTGTCACTGTTCAGCAGTTTCAGCATTAAGCCTAGAGGGGGGCTAACTCCTGCATGGCGGTTGATTCCCCCAGGATAGTGTTTCTCAGCAAAGATGATCGGGGGACTGGAGGCTAAAACATATAAGGAACGGTGGCTGGAATTGGGTAGGTCTAGTTTAATAAAGGACCAGGGGTGACAGGATAGCAGCCTTCCAGTATCTCAGGGGCTGCCCCAAAGAAGAGGGAGTCAAGCTATTATCCAAAGCACCTGAAGGCAGGACAAGAAGCAATGGATGGAAACTCATCAAGGAGAGAAGCAACCTGGAACTAAGGAGAAACTTCCTGACAGTGAGAACAATTAACCAGTGGAACAACCTGCTCCAACACTGTAAGTTTTTAAGAGGAGACTGGACAGCCATTTGTTTGGAATGGTACAGGGTTTCCTGCCTGAGCAGTGGGTTGGACTACTAGATGACCTCCAAGATCTATTCTATTCTATTCTAAATTCTATTTATTCCATTCCATTCCATTCCATATTTTCTATTCTATTCTATTCTACATTCTACATTCTATCCATTCCATTCTCCTATTCTATTCTATTCTATTCTATTCTATTCTATTCTATTCTATTCTATTCTATTATTAATTCTATTTATTCCATTCCATTCCATATATTCTATTCTATTCTATTCTATTCTAATTCTAATTCTAATTCTATTCTCGGCAACTTTAAGAGGTGAGGATTCCTCAGCCAACCATGCTGGGATTTGAAGTCCACATCTCTTCAAGGTTGAGAGAACACTCTCCTAGGTGGTAATTTGCTGCTATGTGGTTCTCAACAATAGTGCATACACACACACACGCCCCAATAGCTACCACGATCGGTGGGATGTTTCTTGGTACGGCTAGGCAGCTGACCAGAGAGAAATCCTCCAGGTTTCCAAGCCTGCACCTCACACCTCCATACCTGATAAAGGGGAGGAGCAAGGATGAAAATACTCGTGTACCTGTCCAGTTGTAGGACAGTGAGTGTCAACACAAACACACCCACAGGCTGGAAAGAAAGGAGAGGTGCATTTTGTATTTTAAAAGATCTGCTTCTGCCTTATAGGGAAAAATCTTTCCTGGCTACTCGTGAATGTATTCTGATGCTTCCGTGTAACGTGTACAGATTGGATTTCTCTTGCGGTCTAGGAATCTCCCACAGAGGCTGAATCGAAGCCGTCTAGCTGAGCGATGCTTGGGGTACAAACACCAGGAGTTTCTTGGGAATAAAGGTTATAACATCCATCTTTATTATTCTAAGGTTTCACAGATTGGCATTTTTTAATTTTTTTTTTAAGAATCCCAGTTTCAGAAGAGAGCCGACGGCGGACGGCCTTCGGGTAGCCTAAAGAAATATGGACCAAGAAAAATCAAGAGATCGCTGGAGGAAGGCATTGAACAAATCAGAAGAGCAGAGTGAAAACGTTTGGACCTGCTCAGAGCAGGTGCTTCATGCTGATTGGGATAACTGAATGGACTTCCATTTATTCAGCGAAGGAATACTGACTCAAATGTACCGCGTCGGAAGGTATTTCGAATGCAAAAAGCCCAGGAAATACCAAATCACAGCTGGTTAAGACCCGATCCAGACAGCACTGCCTGACACCGTCCCTTGGTTTGAAGGAACCATTTTTTGCGTCGCGGCATTAATGAGATCACGCCACGCAAACCCTATTGTACGACACAAGATTTAACGCTCGCCTAAAAAAAAAAAAGAGAGAGAATTTTGCCTAAGAGAGGAGAGGAGAGCGCGTGGTCCGCAAAACACAGGAGGAAAGAAAAAAAAACAGACTTTTAGAAAACAAGCAACCAGCCCAACAAACAAACAAAAATATATATATAAAAAAATAATAAACACAACCCCATATAGATACACTCCGCGAAACGAATTCTTGGAAGGAACCGTTTCTATGTACAACCTTGACCGAGATCCTGAATTTATAAACCATCAGCAGAAATACCAGCTGCTCAGAATGTCCTTTGAGAGGGAGAGAGGGAGTGAGTGAGAGAGAGAGAGAGAGAGAGAGAAAGAGAGACGTACGGAGGTTTCCAGGGTGGGCTATGCCACTGTGGGGGCCAGTCTGCTTATAAAAGAAATACTGCTCACGCAGAGTCTTCGCAGAAACAGCGGGCAAGAAGGCTTCATTACGAGATGCTCCACCACAATCCTCAGCTCTGTGAAGAGGGTCCTGGAAAAGAGAATATATTTTCAAGTACACGTGAAACGGAAGCGCTTCTCTCTCTCTGTCTCCCTTCCTTCCTTTCCTTCTTTCTCCTTTTCTTTTTCTTTCTTTTCTCCTTCTTTCTCTTCCTTCCTTTCTCTCTGTCTTTCTTTTTATTTTCCTTCCTTCCTTTCCTTCTCTTTCTCTTTCTTCCTTTCCTTCTTTCTCTTTCTGTTTCTTTCTTTTCTATCTTCCTTCCTTCCCTTCTCTTTCTTTCTCTCTTCCTTCCTTTCTCTTTCTTTCTTTTCTCCCTTTCTCTTTCTTTTTCTCTTCCTTCCTTCCTTTCTCTGTCTTTTTCTTTCTCTCTTCCTTCCTTTTTTCCTTCTCTCTTTCTTTCTTTCTTCCTTCCTCCCTTTCTCTGTCTCTGTCTCTTTCTGTCTCTGCCTTTCTTTCTTCCTTTCCTTTCCTTCACTTTCTTTTTCTTTTTCCCTTTCTCCCTTTCTCTCTTCATTCCTTTTTTCCTTCTCTCTTTCTTTCTTCCTTTTTTCCTTCTTTCTTTCTTTCTCTTCCTTCCTCCCTTTCTGTCTCTGTCTCTCTTTCTCTGTCTCTGCCGCTCTTCCTTCCTTCCTTTCCTTCACTTTCTTTCTTTCTTTCTCCCTTTCTTTTTCTTCCTTCCTTCCTCTCTCTCTGTCTCTCTTTCTGTCTGTCTTTCTTTCTCTTCCTTCCTTTCCTTCTCTCTTTCTTTCTTTCTCTTTCTTTCTTTTTCTTTCTTTCTCTTCCTTCCTTTCTCTCTCTCTCTCATTTAGTGACCGATTCTCATAAATGCCAACAGAATTGAAGCCAGAATAAGGCAGATGAAGTATTAAAAATGTGTCCCAATGTTCAATACAATCTAAGACAGGGGTCTTCAACCTCGGCAACTTTTAAAGACTTGTGGACTTCAACGCCCAGAATCCTGAAGTTGAAGTCCACAAGTCTTAAAGTGGCCAAGTTTGAAGACCCCCGGTCTACGAGGAAAAGACACACACGCACACACCAAAAAAAAAAGGTTTAAGCGAACTCAACAGCCATGGCACATTCAGGGCCAAAATCCGAAAGGAAGGGAGCGAACGAAGGAGGTGAAGATGGAACAAGGCAGATGGATGAGCAAATCCTTAAATCCCAGCGTCAATCGTGAACATCAGTCTTTGTTACAGTTGTTAACCAGCACAAAGCAAACCAGGAATCAAACGTAACTATAGATCTAGAGCAGGGGTAGGCAACCCTGGCTCTTTTATGACTCGTGGACTTCAACTCCCAGAATTCCTGAGCCAGCCACGCTGAAGGGAAAGGGAGAGGTTTCCAAGCTGAGCCAAGCTAGCCCAGGAATTCTGGGAGTTGAAGTCCACCAGTCCTAAAAGAGCCAAGGTTGCCTACCCCTGACCTAGAGGAACATATGAAAGCATAATTAATGTTAATTAATGTAGACTTTATTAGTTTAGAGCAGGGGTAGGCAACCTTGGCTCTTTTATGACTCGTGGACTTCAACTCCCAGAATTCCTGAGCCAGCCACGCTGAGGGGAAAGGGAGAGATTTCCAAGCTGAGCCATGCTGACTCAGGAATTCTGGGAGTTGAAGTCCCCGAGTCATGAAAGGGCCATAGTTCCCCCATGCTGGCTCAGGAATTCTGGGAGTTGAAGTCCACGAAGTCCACGAGTATATATATAGGCCAGAATTTGTAACCCTTTGGGCAGGTGTAAAAAAAAATCTATATAAATAAAAATGTAAATGTTCGTTTGTTCAACATCTTAAATCTCCGAAAGTTCTTCACCGATTGCTTTGAAATTTCGACACAACGTTGCATTCGAATACGCGCGTGTTTTTCTATACAGTACCTACTATTATATAGATGTCACACCTGTGACAGGTAAAAACAAAAAAGGGCCAATCTTTAGAATTGTGCGGTTTAGATCTACACACGGATTGCTTCTCACATGGACAATTATATGTTGCGTGTTCTAGACTCGGCAAACCAGACAATCTCTATATCTGCACAGACAATGGAACAACAAAAAAGATTGTACACCCACAGGCATTGTGAAATTAAACATATTCGAAACATGCGCTTTCTCTTTTCTTTCTTTTCCATTTAACCAGACTGAGCCACAGCAACGCGTGGCTGGGTACAGCTAGTACACATAATAATAAAAATGGAATCACAGAGGTAAAAGAGAAATCGAGAGGAACCCCAACGGCTTCCTGCTTAAACGTGGCTACAGCAATTTTACAGGTGAGTAGTCCTCGTCGGCTTCTTACCGGCAGTAAGGATTTCTCCGGGAAGAGTAACGGAGCGTAAGAAACCTGTAGTAAATAAACGGCTGCAACAAGCTTCCTTGTCCGCTGAAAAGGACAAAAGAAAACAAGGAAAGCGGGTTAAAATAATAACAGCGGTTTATTTCTTCATCAAGATAGGATTTATAATATTATACAGGGGGTCCCCGGCTTACAACCGCTCGCTTCGTGGCTGTTCAAAGTTACGACAGGCGCTGAAAAAAGTGAATTATGTCCGTTTTCACACTTACGACCGCTGCAGCCTCCCCGGGGTCACATGATCAAAACTGGAAGGCTTAGAAACTGGCATGTACTTACGACGGTTGCAGTGTCCCCCGGGGGGGGGTCACATGATCCCGGCCGGGTTACTAACTTAACCATTCGCTTAATTAGGCAAGAAAAGTCGTCAAAAAGGGGGCAAAACTCACTTCGCAGCCATCTCACTTAACAACAGAGATTCTGGGCTCGGCTGTGGCCGTAAGCCGAGGACTAGCTGTAAGCCAATTTTGAACGAATAATCTTACATATGTTTTTAACGTTGGATAGATACGCATACAGGCAAGTAGATCTCTAGCTCGTTATGTAACATGCTTCAATTGCCAAAAAACAGTGGAAATATTAAAAAAGGGAGACAGGAGGAGGAGGAGGAGGAAAAGAAGGAGAATAATAATAATAATAAGAAGAAGAAGAAGAACTGAAGAAGTCAGAAAAGAAGAAGAAGAAGAAGAAGAAGAAGAAGAAGAAGAAGAAGAAGAAGAAGAAGAAGAAGAAGAAGAAGAAGAAGAAGAAGAAGAAGAAGAAGAAGAAGAAGAAGAAAAGAAGAGGAGGAGGAGGAAGAACTGAAGAAGTCAGAAAAGAACAGAAGGAGAAAGAAAAAAGAAGGAAGGAAAAGAAGGAAGGAAAAGAAGAAAAAGAATAACTGAAGAAGAAAAGAAGAAGAGGAGGAGGAGGAAGAAGAACTGAAGAAGTCAGAAAAGAACAGAAGGAGAGAGAAAGGAAGGAAGAAGGAGGAGGAGGAGAAGGAGGAGGAGGAAGAAGAACTGAAGGTCAGAAAAGAACAGAAGAAAGAAAGAAGGAAGGAAGAAGGAAAAGAAGGAAGAAGGAAGAGAAGAAGAAGAAAGGAGGAGGAAGAAGAACTGAAGAAGTCAGAAAAGAACAGAAGGAGAAGAAAGAAGAAAGGCGGAAGAAGAAGAAGAACTGAAGAAGTCAGAAAAGAAGAAGAGGAGGAGGAAGAAGAATAAGAACTGAAGGTCAGAAAAGAACAGAAGGAGAAGAAAGAAGAAAGAAGGAAAAGAAGAAGAGGAGGAAGAAGAAGAAGAAGAAGAAGAAGAAGAAGAAGAAGAAGAAGAAGAAGAAGAAGAAGAAGAAGAAGAAGAAGAAGAAGAAGAAGAAGAAGAAGAAGAAGAAGAAGAAGAAGAAGAAGAAGAAGAAGAAGAAGAAGAAGAAGAAGAAGAAGAAGAAGAAGAAGAAGAAGAAGAAGAAGAAGAAGAANAAGATTTAACGCTCGCCAAAAAAAAAAAAAGAGAGAGAATTTTGCCTAAGAGAGGAGAGGAGAGCGCGTGGTCCGCAAAACACAGGAGGAAAGAAAAAAAAACAGACTTTTAGAAAACAAGCAACCAGCCCAACAAACAAACAAAAATATATATATAAAAAAATAATAAACACAACCCCATATAGATACACTCCGCGAAACGAATTCTGGGAAGGAACCGTTTCTATGTACAGCCTTGACCGAGATCCTGAATTTATAAACCATCAGCAGAAATACCAGCTGCTCAGAATGTCCTTTGAGAGGGAGAGAGGGAGTGAGTGAGAGAGAGAGAGAGAAAGAGAGAAAGAGACGTACGGAGGTTTCCAGGGTGGGCTACGCCACTGTGGGGGCCAGTCTGCTTATAAAAGAAATACTGCTCACGCAGAGTCTTCGCAGAAACAGCGGGCAAGAAGGCTTCATTACGAGATGCTCCACCACAATCCTCAGCTCTGTGAAGAGGGTCCTGGAAAAGAGAATATATTTTCAAGTACACGTGAAACGGAAGCGCTTCTCTCTGTCTCCCTTCCTTCCTTCCTTTCCTTCTTTCTCCTTTTCTTTTTCTTTCTTTTCTCCTTCTTTCTCTTCCTTCCTTTCTCTCTGTCTTTCTTTTTATTTTCCTTCCTTCCTTTCCTTCTCTTTCTCTTTCTTCCTTTCCTTCTTTCTCTTTGTTTCTTTCTTTTCTATCTTCCTTCCTTCCCTTCTCTTTCTTTCTCTCTTCCTTCCTTTCTCTTTCTTTCTTTTCTCCCTTTCTCTTTCTTTTTCTCTTCCTTCCTTCCTTTCTCTGTCTTTTTCTTTCTCTCTTCCTTCCTTTTTTCCTTCTCTTTCTTTCTTTCTCTTCCTTCCTCCCTTTCTCTGTCTCTGTCTCTTTCTGTCTCTGCCTTTCTTTCTTCCTTTCCTTTCCTTCACTTTCTTTTTCTTTTTCCCTTTCTCCCTTTCTCTCTTCATTCCTTTTTTCCTTCTCTCTTTCTTTCTTCCTTTTTTCCTTCTTTCTTTCTTTCTCTTCCTTCCTCCCTTTCTGTCTCTGTCTCTCTTTCTCTGTCTCTGCCGCTCTTCCTTCCTTCCTTTCCTTCACTTTCTTTCTTTCTTTCTTTCTCCCTTTCTTTTTCTTCCTTCCTTCCTCTCTCTCTGTCTCTCTTTCTGTCTGTCTTTCTTTCTCTTCCTTCCTTTCCTTCTCTCTTTCTTTCTTTCTCTTTCTTTCTTTTTCTTTCTTTCTCTTCCTTCCTTTCTCTCTCTCTCTCATTTAGTGACCGATTCTCATAAATGCCAACAGAATTGAAGCCAGAATAAGGCAGATGAAGTATTAAAAACGTGTCCCAATGTTCAATACAATCTAAGACAGGGGTCTTCAACCTCGGCAACTTTTAAAGACTTGTGGACTTCAACGCCCAGAATCCTGAAGTTGAAGTCCACAAGTCTTAAAGTGGCCAAGTTTGAAGACCCCCGGTCTACGAGGAAAAGACACACACGCACACACCAAAAAAAAAAGGTTTAAGCGAACTCAACAGCCATGGCACATTCAGGGCCAAAATCCGAAAGGAAGGGAGCGAACGAAGGAGGTGAAGATGGAACAACGCAGATGGATGAGCAAATCCTTAAATCCCAGCGTCAATCGTGAACATCAGTCTTTGTTACAGTTGTTAACCAGCACAAAGCAAACCAGGAAGCAAATGTAACTATAGATCTAGATCAGGGGTAGGCAACCTTGGCTCTTTTATGACTCGTGGACTTCAACTCCCAGAATTCCTGAGCCAGCCACGCTGAGGGGACAGGGAGAAGTTTCCAAGCTGAGCCAGGCTGCCTCAGGAATTCTGGGAGTTGAAGTCCACCAGTCATAAAAGGGCCAGGTTTAAAGACCCCTCACTTAGAGGAACATATGAAAGCATAATTAATGTTAATTAATGTAGACTTTATTAGTTTAGGCCAGGGGTAGGTAACCTTGGCTCTTTTATGACTCGTGGACTTCAACTCCCAGAATTCCTGAGCCAGCCATGCTGAGGGGAAAGGGAGAGATTTCCAAGCTGAGCCATGCTGACTCAGGAATTCTGGGAGTTGAAGTCCCCGAGTCATGAAAGGGCCATAGTTCCCCCATGCTGGCTCAGGAATTCTGGGAGTTGAAGTCCACGAAGTCCACGAGTATATATATAGGCCAGAATTTGTAACCCTTTGGGCAGGTGTAAAAAAAATCTATATAAATAAAAATGTAAATGTTCGTTTGTTCAAAATCTTAAATCTCCGAAAGTTCTTCACTGATTGCTTTGAAATTTTGACACAACGTTACATTCGAATACGCGCGTGTTTTTATATACAGTACCTACTATTATATAGATGTCACACCTGTGACAAGTAAAAACAAAAAAGGGCCAATCTTTAGAATTGTGCGGTTTAGATCTAGACACGGATTGCTTCTCACATGGACAATTATATGTTGCGTGTTCTACTAGAGTCGGCAAACCAGACAAATCTCTGTATCTGCACAGACAATGGAACAACAAAAAATATTGTATATCCACAGGCATTGTGAAATTAAACATGTTACAGACGTGCGCTTTCTCTTTTCTTTCTTTTCCATTTAACCAGACTGAGCCACAGCAACGCGTGGCTGGGTACAGCTAGTAATATAATAATAAAAATGGAATTACAGAGGTAAAAGGAAGCCGTGGTGAGGCCCCTCCTCAAGAAGCCTTCCCTGGATCCAGACGAGTTGGCCAATTATCGCCCGGTCTCCAACCTTCGCTTTACGGCGAAGGTTGTTGAGAGTGTGGTTGCATGGCAGTTCCCGCGGCACCTGGAGGAAGCAGACTATCTAGACCCATACCAGTCGGGCTTCAGGCCGGGACACAGCACG